CTCACAAAGGCCTCGGCTCCGCCCACCGTGTATCGGCCGCCCTGAGGAGCGCCAAGCAAGGCCACCCCGCGGGGCCTGAGTCCCCCATCCCAGCCCCGGCGGACCCTCCCCACCGCCACCCCGTGGGCACAGAGGGGGCCCCGACCACAGGCCTCACCTCACACATGACCTTGATATGGGTGACCCTGAGCGGGGAGCCGGGGCCCGCCTTGGGCTGGTCGCTGAGCACCGACAGCACGAAGTCCCCGGGCTGGCTGAGGCTCTCACGCACCAGGAAGGTCCAGGGCTCGCCCTTGGCCTGCAGCAGTGCCTCCGCCTGTCCCCCGGACATGTGGCCATGGTACCACCTAGCGGGGGAGTCAGGGACCGTGAGCCCGGAAGGTGCAGGGAGGGAGAGGGGAGCCAGCCGCTGCCCCAGCCCACACCCCTCTGGCATTCAATCCACGGCCATGTGTCCCTGGCTTTCTCACAAAGTGCTGAGGGGGAGGGTCAGCAGGTAGCGTGGTGGTTAAAGCGGTGGACACTCCCACATGGCCAACCATGGTTCGAGTCCCGGACCTGGTGGCTTGCTTTCTCCCTTTCTTTCTCTCTCTGGTCAAATGAAAATAAATGAATGAATAAATAAAATTAAATAAATAATTCCTTTTTAAAAAATACTGAGGGAAGGATTATCCCTGTCTCACAGACGAGGAAACAGGCTGAACACGCCCCGCCTAGGGTCCCGCGTGTCGAGAGGCAGGCCTCAGGGGTCCTGAGCTGGCTCCGAGCTCAAAGCCCATCTCTGAACGTTTAAGACAGACAGACAGACAGGGGAGCCCCAGGCTGTTTAGGGGGGAGAAACCAAGCCAGAGTGGCCATGAGAGACCAGGCTGGACCAGGGAGCGAGACCAGAGATGAAAAGAACTGCAGGGACCAGCAGTTAGTGTAATGGCTATGTCGCTGGACTCCCACGTTCGCATCCCGGACCCGGTGGCTTAAAACCCACGCCGGGCGCGTGTGCATGCGTGCCCAAGATCCCGAGAGGAGAGTGGAGGAGAAGGGATTAGGGCGTGGCCATCCCCTCTGGGGGGTGATTTCTCGCTTTCTGTCTCTCTGTCTCTCTCTGTCTGTCTGGCGAGTGCACGCGCCCTATAGTGAAAAACCTCAAAAAAAAAAGAACTGCAGAGGCGGCCCACAGCGATGACGCACGGCCCACAGACGGGAGTGGGTAGGGGGCTCTGGGGTGCCGGGATGATGTCACTCAAGGAAAGGCCAGGGTTCAAAGGGGCTCGAAGGCACTCAGAGGGGCTGTCGGGGAAGAAAGCGGAACTAAGCCCTTTCCCCGAAGCACACCCCTTCCCAGGAGGAAACTGCAGCCCCACAGGAAACCACGTGATGGAAAAAACACAAAACTCCTTCTGGGGAGAGAGTGAGAAGTGAGGTTGTGAGGTTTCCTCAGCTCAGGGACCAGGGGAAGGGGGGCATTTTCCAACCGCAGGGAAGGGGGAAGGAGGGAGGGCGCTAGTCAGCCTTGACCCCCCTCACCTCTACCCAGAGGGGACTCCAGTTCAGGCCCCCCAGTCTCCTGCCCACCAGCCAGGACCAGCCCAGGGCCCCAGGCATGGGGAGGGGGCTCAGCCCCAACCCTCAGCCCAGGATGAGGAAGTATCCATGCAAATGTCAGCCGTGGAGGGGACAGATGCAAATCCCTGTAGAAGAGGGCACAGCCCAGGGCAGGGGACACAAACAGAACTGTGGGGACAGGCCAGAGGTGAGGCCCGGGCTCCCAGCTGGGTAACCCCAAAGGGCCTCGAAGCGCACACTCCCTGGTCTTCACTTCCATCCTCAGCCCCCCACCCCAGCTCTGCCTCCTTCCCTGGCTTCCCCCACACTGCTTGAACCAGGCCTCCGCAGCGACTCCTGCCCGCTCCCAGCTCCACGCAGTCTCCTGGTCGGTAGGGTCCTGGCCACCCCTCTCCTCCAGCATGGAAAGTGCTGGCTTGGGAGGAGACGGAGAGGCAGCGAGGAGTTGGGGGTCTGCATGGCAGCAAGGGGGCAGGGGGTGGCCTTAAGGAGAGCCCTCCATGGTTGGGGCTTCGCTCCTTCAGAGGGAGCAGACCGAGGGCTTCGTGTTGCCTGGAGAGGGGTCTCCGGGGTGGGCCACAGGCCCCCATGCTAAGGCGTAATCAGTGACCAAGCGAAACGCCGAACGCCCGTCGGTGGCGACACCACAGCAGGACCGAGCCCGGCAGGACCAAGCACACAAATGCGTCCTGACCCAGAGGCCACGAGAAGATGCCCTGCAGCCACTCGGTTCCCCCTCACCCTCACAGGGTCCGCCGTGGGGCAGCTGACAGGAGCACCCGGCCCGCTCCTGTCCGCGCTCTGGGTACCCCACGTGGGGAGCGGCCGGCCTGGTCCTGGGGCCTGGTCTTTGCAGTACAGGGAACGGGGCAGCACCTTGGGACCCCGTGCCCAGGTCGGTACCAGGCTCCGCACGCGGGCACGCTGCACCCCGTGCTCAGTGGCCCAGCCTGGGCCCAGGGTCTGCCTGGCCCCAGAGCACGGACCCGTCCTCACGGGGCAGCTGACACGGGCACGCGTGTCCAGATCCATGCTGAGCCCTGCCACTGGTCTCCACGTCCCAGGGTACCAGCCCACGCCACGGGGGCGGTCCATTCCCACAGAAGGAAGAGCTTTCTAACAATGGAGCTGACCGCTGTGACATGCCAGCCATGGAGGGCGGCCTCCCTGTGCTGCCGCTGAAAGGGACCCAGAGGAAGGCAAGGTGGCTGTCCCTGCCCTCACGAGGACCGGACAGAAAGGAGTGGTGGCTTCCACAGGGTGACAGGATGAGAGCTGCTAGGCACCCTGAGATGGGCCAAGGCCGGGGCCTCCCACTGTGGCTGGGCCCGCACCCTCACCTCTCGCTGGTGGGGTCGGAGCAGTTGAGCGGGTACTTGAGGTGGATGATGGTGCCGTCGCGGTCCTGCAGGACGCCCTGCTGCTGCGTGTAGTACTCCACCAGCTCCGTCAGTGTCGCGAACTTCTCCCCTCCGTAGAGGTCGTAGAAGTCCCCTGAGTTCTGGATCCGAATATGGGTCACCTGATCCCCCACCCTGCAGGGCACCAGGCAGTGAGGCCAGCGGTGCTGGAGCCGGGCTGGGGCTGGGGCGAGGACGGAGGCTGCACGAGCTGGGCAGGGTGACTCGGCCACAGAGCTGCGGAAATGTGGGGACCACCTACCTGACGGACAGGGAGAAGTCGCCCTGGTTCTTGCGACTGGGTCGTGCCAGGAAGCTGCCATGGACACCTCGGCCCTTGAGCAGGGTCTCCGCATCCAGGCCACTGAGGTCTCGGTGGAACCACCTGGAAGGCCAGGCAGGGCGTGATCCAGGTCCCTGGGGCCCCAGGGCATGCTTGCCTTCTGCCCACAAGGGGTCCCAGGACCTTACCTCACCATCCTGGGGGCTTCCGGAGATAAGGGGGTGCAGGGAACGGGCGGTGCGGCCCCAGCTGGGCAGGCGCAGGACTGGGCGAAGCCTCACGGGCTCGCGGCGCTCAGTGCCCAGGCCGCCTCTTGCCCACCGTGGTGCTGGGGCTGCCACTCCACTGGCCTGGGGCAGCCGGCAGGGCGGGGACAGGAAGGGGCGCGGCCGACCCCTTGGGGGAACTCTCTGTACTTCTCGTTTTAGAGCAGCAAGCGGAGGGGTGGCAGTGGGGGCGGGGCCGGGCCCACTTCCCACACCGCCTCCAGCCAAGGCTCGGGAGCACGGCGCGGCGTGGATGTGACACGACAGGGGACACGTGTGCACCTCGGCCAGGCCCAGCACGTGCGTGTGAACCCACACATTCGCACTCCGTCTCTCCCTCCACCGCCAGCTGCACTGACACTGACGCGGCCTTCCCGGGCCCAGCTCATGGCGGGGCGGCGGGCGGCGCTGAGTCTCGCTGCGTGCAGCCTCTGTGCGGTAACGTTTCCATGCTTGTCTGCTGTACTCCCCCAACAGCCCTGTGGAACAGGTACTATCCCTTCTTAAAAGAATATTTATTTATATTTATTTTATTTTATTTGTCATTATCTTTTTTTTTTTTTTTCAATTTGCTACAGGACACACACACCAGAGAGAGAGAAGAAAAGCTGCCAGGTCTGGGACTCGAACCATGGTTGGCCATGTGAGAGTCCAGTGACTTAACCACCCTGACACCTCTTGGTCCCAAAACAGGTACTTTCTTTTTTTTCTTTTTGAGATGTTTTTTGCTATAGGGCCCATGTGCTTGCCAGAAAGACAGCGAGAGACAGAAAGTGAGAAATCACCCCCCAGTGGGGATGGTCACGCCACAATCCCTTCTCCTCCATTCTCCTCTCGGGATCTTGGGCACGCACGCACACGCACCCGGTGTGAGTTTTAAGCCACCGGGTCCGGGACTCGAACCACAGTCGACTACGTGGGAGTCCAGCGACATAGCCATTACGCTAACTGCTGGTCCCCCTGGTGTGAGTTTTAAGCCACCGGGTCCGGGACTTGAATCGCAGTCGACTACATGGGAGTCCAGCGACATAGCCATTACACTAACTGCTAGTCCCAACAGGTACTATCTTTATCCCCATTTTATATACAAGAAACTTGAGGCTTAGGGAGTTTAAGCTCACCCAAGGTCATCCAGTTAGTAAGTGGTGGTGCCAGGATTCAAACCCATACGATCTGGTTCCAAAGCCAACAATGTTACCCACTATATGCCAACCAGCAGGGCTTCAAATAGAGGTTAAGGGACTCCCCTGGGGCCTCCACGGGAGGAGGCACTCCCTAATAGCCAAACCATGCAGACACTCACGAGAGAGAAGGGTCCTTCCTCTCCCCGACAGGCATATCTGAGGGATGTCAGGGTGGCAGAGGGATGGACCAAATGACCCGGCCCTGCCCCAGGACTGACGAGGCACCTGCCTCCCACGGGACGAGGGCAGGGAGCTGGGACCAAGTCCCCATGGTGGCTGATATTCTCGGGGCTGGTGGACCTGGGGGCCCTACACCCCGACAGCGTATGCCACTCCCATACGCAACCCCCAATACTCCACAGCCACAGCAAGAACAAGGGCGCTCCGCCAACTGCGACGAGGAGCCCCCACTGGTGGCTTTTCCCTGGCAGGGAGGACAGGGCGGGACACCACCTTCTCTTTTCAGATGTCATTTGATGGACAACCTTTATGAAGCAAAAAACAAACAAAAACTTTGGAAAGAAAAAGATAAAGTAGTTTTCATAGGAAAATTAGACTCTGTTGGCCTCTTCAAAAAAGATTTTCTGAGGGACCAGCAGGTGGCATGGTGGTTAAGGCGCTGGACACTCCCACATGGCTAACCAGGGTTTAAGTCTTGAATCTGGTGGCTTGCTTTCTTGCTTACTCTCTCTCACTCTCACCCTCTGTCTCTCTTTGGTCAAATAAAAAAAAATAAATGAATAAATAAAAACAAACAAAAACAAACAAAAAAAACGTGCTAGGCATGTGTGTGGGCATGCGCAAAATCCAGAGAGAATGGAGGAGAAGGAATTGCACAGTGGCCATTCCCCCGGGAAGTGATTTCTCACTTTCTATCTTTCTCCCTCCAGCAAGAGCACATCCCCTATGGAAAACAAAAACAAAAACAAAAACAAATAAAACCTTAAAAAAAGCCAAAGATATGGCAGGGAATATCACAAAATTTCACAAAGGGGCCAGCAGGTGGTACGTTGGGGTACTGGACTTCCACATGGCTAATCATGACTCATTCAGGGCACTGGACTCTAATGTGGTTACCATGGTTTGAGTCCCGGACCTGGCAGCTTGCTTTCTCACTTTCTCTCTTTCTCTCTCTTTTCCCCACTCTGGTCAAAATTAAAATAAATAAATAAAGTTAATTGAAAACTTTTTTTTCTTGTCATAGGGCATGCATGCTCACTGGAGAGAGAGAGAGAAAGTGAGAAGTTACCCTCCAGGGGAGATGGACACACCACAATCCCTTCTCCTTTTGGAATTTTGGGCATGCACATACATAACCCTGGTGTGTTTTTCAAGTCACCAGGTCTGGGACTTGAACCATGGAGTTGGCCCTGTAAGATCCAATGCTTTAACCCCAACGTCACTTGCTGGTTCCTCTGTTAGGCTTTATTTATTTATTTATTTATTGAGAGGCTTTTGCTATAGGGCATGTGCGCTCTGCAGAAAGACAGAGAGAGACAGAGAGACAGAAAGCGAGAAATCACCCCCCAGGGGAGACGGCCACGCCACAATCCCTTCTCCTCCATTCTCCTCTCGGGATCTTGGGCACGCACGCACATGTGCCAGGCATGAGTTTAAGCCACCGGATTCGAGACTTGAACCACAGTCGACTACGTGGGAGTCCAGCGACATAGCCATTACGCCGACTGCTGGTCCCACCACTTTATCATTTTTTAAAAGAATCATTTTATTTAACTTTATTTGTTAATTTATTTTAATTTTACCAGAGAGGCACAGAACAAGAGAGAGATTGGGAGAGAGAAAGGTGCTATGTGAGGGTCTCGAACCACGGTCAGCCACGTGGGAATGCAGTGTCCTTAACCACCACGCCACCTGCCTGGCCCCTACTGTATCATTTTTTAGAAACATTCAACTTTTTTTTTTTTGGCCAGAAAAGTTTTTTTCCTTTTTTCTTTTCTCTCTCTCCTTTTTCTTTCTCTTTCTCTGTCTTTTTGTGTGTATGTGTGTGGGGGGTGAGGTGTGGCTAGGGTGGTTGTCGGTTCTCCTATTAACGTCCTAGGGAGTTTGCGGGGTCGGTGTACAGTGCGTCCCAGCCCTGAGGCCCTGAGGTCTGGGCACTGCCTGAAATACCGCGGTGGGAAGGGCACACGTCCAGGGCTCTGTCCAGGCCGTGGAGGGGCCTGGCATCTCCCCCGGCTACGAGGGCCTGGCCTACGTCTGGCAGCACGCACAGCCTCCCACCACGGCACAGAGTAAGTGTCCAATGGACAAAGCCAGTACATGCACAAACGCATGGCCGTGAGCACAGCCTCCTGGTTCCACTATGCCCTCACTGGTGCCACGCAAAACCCATGCCTGGACACGCCATCCTGACCACGTGGGCTCAGGTCCACGCTCGGCACCGACACCCGCTGCCCTGGCGCAGGACAGTCCTCCCAGGGCTTGAACTCGCATGGCCGGCAGTTAGGAACTAGACACCCGGCCACTCCTGACCCACGGAAGAGGCAGGATTTCTCCGGAGGAGACGCGCCGTCTTGCTCACCCGTGGCAGGAAGATGAATAACCATCTCCCTGACTCCGGGCCAGTGTTCTGGATCTGCGGGACATTCACCACAGCCTGTGTCTGTCTGGTTTGGTTTAGTTTGATTTCTGTCATAGAGCATGTGTGCTTGCCAGAGAGACACAGAGACAGGGAAAATGAGAAGTCCCCCCCCGGGAGGTCAGCCATGCTGCAATCCCTTCTCCCTTCTCCCTTCTCCTCCTGGGATTTTGGGCACGCACACGTGTGCACCTGACGTGAGCTGCAAGCCACTGGGTCCGGGACTCAAACCAAGGTCGGCTATGTGGGAATCCAGTGCCTTAAGCCCCACACCCCCATATTTTTATTGGGGGGAAGCAGGAGCAGGGAGGCTGAGTCACAGAACGGCAAGTGCTGGGTAATTTAGAGAACGATGCCGCTGGGACGCGGGGAAACAGAGGCGGAGGTCAGAACTGGCCGTGAGACAGGAAGGCAGCAGTGTGGACAGGCAGCGAGGCCAACAAGCCTAGGGCGTGACCAGCTGCTCTGAGCCCGTCTCCCCACCCAGGAATCGGGCTGAGCAGTTTCCCGAACGCGGGTGCAAAGCTAGTAAGGGGCGGGGTCCAGTCTGATGGCTTTTACGTGACGAGCCCACGCGCCATTCGGTGGCTGTCATCGCACAATGTTAGAAACCAACACGGAGACTCAGAGACAT